TTTGCATTTGACAAAACGGATGCAAACAGATCTGCAGTCCCCTCCTTGGACCCAAATTTCATAGATGCTTAGCAGCGGGGTCTACTGGCTTCCCTATGTCTTACCCAGGAGCCTCTGCCTTGTGTTCTCACTCCAGGTTTAACACAGGCAGAGCAAGTTAGTGTCTGTCTATGCTGAGTGGCAAGACACTCCCTAAGAGGATTTTCAAGCCTTCTTATGAGCTTAGAAATCCTAAAGACCTTGGTGTTGGAGGAGGGTACACAGCTATTCACAATGAGAAAACTGCCCTGAGCTGGAAATGAAGGCATGTGAGGAACTTGCGGGCCAAATGAGGACGTAGCAAGTGAATTGTAAAAGCTTCTGGGGGTAAGGCAACTACAGAGGAAGGGATATTTTTGTGTCACGCTTCTGCACTTAGTCACAAGACCCCCAATCCTGTACCATGCAGTTAAAAACTTCTTCCTCCATAGGTATATCAACAATATTGTGAAATATGGCATGGCAGAATAATTGAATGAGAAATTTTTCTAGTTCTTCCTCCAAAAAGCCTTTCTTTCAGAAAAAGAAATATTGCTTTACTGTCCTTCCTTGAATCTTTTCCCTTACGCCTCTTTTTCTTTGACTGAATTTGACCCTCCTTATTGGCCAGCTCAGAACACTTATGCACATGGCTAAGGCGGGATGGTGGTCCCACCATTTGGGTAATCCTATGATCACCATATTTAAAGCCACGATCAGTTTGGTATTACAGCTTTAGAAATCAAGGTAGGGCCAAAAGAGATCTCACTACTGAATAGGATGCTGTGCTGGTCCTCACATGAGCTTCAGGGCCAATCCCAAGGTGTCAATGATATTATTATAATAACTGAAGCAGGAGGAATGTCTCAGCACATAATCAGCTTTGCAACATTAACAAAGAAATAAAGAACAATATTCTAGTTTAATCCTAGACTGGGATTTCATACACAACAATTATAACCAACAGAGGATGAAGTTAATACAATCGTGGAAAAGTACTGGGCTTTAACAATGTGCTTTTGATTATTCACTAAATATGGATGTTATGCAAGTTAAATATGTGAAGCACATTACATTAGCATCAAGCAAGGACGCTGCTAGGCTTATGGAAAATAGAATGAATAGTATAGAAACAGGAATCAGGACAACACAGAAAGCTGCTTGTGAGCTTCAGCAAAAGAAACAAATTTTTGTGTCACTGTGAACCATATTAAAGAAAAATAATAATCCCCATAATAATCATTCTTATGTTCGCTTCATTCTTGCGATCAATGAAGTGAACAAAGGTACTGTGTTTATAATTCCTGTTGTTTTCCTGCGATAAGCATCCTCTGAAGAAAACCTCATGCACACCTAGAAATATCTGCAATGTGGAGCCCTCTAAAACACCAAAACATAAAACAACTTGAAAGATTAGAATTTATTGTTCCATGTTTTGTGTTGGTGAGAAACATGTATTATGTTTAAAAATATACATTTTAAAATTAATTTCCCGATCCACTTCATAACATTATCCTGAACAGCTGTGGGAGTAGCACAAGTCAGGATGCAGCGCATCAAGAGCTTCTGCCGCAGAGGTGTCAATAAGCAGTGGAGGTAGGTTGTCCTTTCGAGTTTGCTGCCACCAAAGGCAGTATGTGGCTAATCTTGTTACGAATATGGCCAAGGGACTAGACTCATTTTTGATTTGTCCCTCTGTGTTCGGGGTAGCATAGCCCCAGAGCAGCTACGCTCTGCCTGAGGCTGCTCTAGGCTACCCGGTCTCCCTCACATTTCCATCAGACTGTGCATAGGTAGTAGGGTGAGCTGCTATAAGAAAGTGATATGTTTAGCACAAGAGACCCTAACCCCAGTGCATGTGAGTGTGCTGCTTTGCACATCCAAGTCCACCTGTCATGTCAGACTTGAACATGGGTGACAGGAGATGGAAGCAGAGATGTGGTGATGCTGATCTCCTGGTCCTCCAAGTGGAGGCTGACAGAGTCTGTCTCCCAGGACTCCCCTTTCTGTGAACCTTTCTGCCTGCCCGTTGTTTCTGCCCTGTCCTTTGATCAATACTTTTTATCTCTACATACCTTCTCGTTTCAATGTGATCATCATCCTTGATCCAATACTGATGCTCACCCAAGTGTGTTGCAGTACTAGGGCCATTCTCATGGCCCATAAATTAATGAAAAGTCACTTCTCAGTCTGGGGCTTTTTTAACTGGATTGTGAGAATCCATCCTATTTAAATTGTTGTCACTGGAAAAGACTCCTGTGGAAGAGGAAGAAACAAGAGGTACTGGATTTTATGTAGCGTGTCAGCCATTCCTGTGGTTAAAGTTGGCTAGAACACGAAAGACTAGAAATATCAAGACTATATAAGATTTAGTGTGGGAAATAATTCTTACTCATTTACTCAAATATAGTAGCGTATGGCACAGTCATTGTGGTTAACAGAGGGGAAAAATAATGCATTAAATATTTTACAGATGGCTTTTTCTTAACTGGGAGGAGAGATAGGAACAAGAAGCATTTTAAATAGCTCTTTTGGCATATAATAAATGTTCACTAGGATCACTATCTCACTAGGATAAGATTTGCCTGCAGCTACAGCTATAACCCGACATAACGCTGCAAGCACTTCCAGCACAGAGAACAAGAAAAGTAGATATATCACTGATAACTTCAATAGCTATTGTTTTTGCACATGCTTTCTAGATCACAACATACTGTTGATCTCTAGTAGTCAATTAATAGTGTTATTGTGCTATTTGCAGCAAATTATGCATATTTTAAAACTCTTTATGAATCAGCAGCTTGTAAGGAAAAGTCCTTTGCCCACATTTCTCACCTCCCTGTAGATGCAGCAGAAGGACATGAGACAAGGAAGAAGAAGAATAGAGAGTCACCTACAAGATTAGCATCTTTACACTACGCTACAGAAGCATTAGATTACATAGCATAACCACATGGACACACACATCCATGCGTGTGTATCTGCTGACTGGGCAGCTGACCAAGGCCTATTTTAACGAATCTTTTTACAATTTTGAACCAATACACACTGCAGTGAATATTCTGAAGAAGATGCAACCAATTTCAAGCATTTTTCTCTGATATAGCTGTCCAATTTCATCTTCAATTCAGTTGCCTGTCATTGCTGATCAGGTACAAATGTGTGACTGACAGTGTAATTGCATATTATTTCTGTCACGCCTGTCCCATTACCTCTGGCACACCAGAATGGTTCTGGTAAGGCTCAGACAGTAATAAGGCTACTTATTATCAAAGGCAAATCCTTTGAACCCTCTCTTTCATCGGTTTGTTCTTCATGTAATCTCAGTGACATACGACTGCAACACTCCCATTCTGATCTGGTAGGAGATTACATCCACTTAAGTTATATTGCAATAGAAGTGCCTTACCCTCATTACGTCTTGAGATATTTCTTCTTTAGATGAGCAACATTACAGCTGATCTCATATTTTACTTTCCCTCCGTAAACGGGTGACTTTCCAGACCATTTTAACATAAGAAATGCTGTTACATTGCTATTGTTGAGACAAATGTTGTATGAGTGATTGTGTTCCTCACTACATGTAAACTAGACTGAGCATCCAAGTCTGTGTGCCATTTTTCCATTAAATTCCTGTGTTTCAGCTACTTAGAGTGCTCACTGGATTATTTACCCAGGTATAAAACATATCATTCTTGGTTTTTAAGTTGTCTGAATAGTAAAGGTGTGACAGGCTGCTCACTTTCTTACTGTAGCAGAAGGTGCTCTATAGTCATGTTGCTTAACTTGTGGCCTATGCACCATTGGTGGTTCCTAAGATATCAGAAGGTGCCATGCCTTCACAGAAGTGGTGTTTCTGACGCTAATATGGAAGTTTGGTTTTTATGAAGCTAGAAAGGATGTGCTAGTGCTTAACTTGCTTAAACTCCCATAACTGCCAAACAACATGATGATATAATGTGATCCATGGACATTGTTCCCTGAAAGGCCATAGGGGTGTTGATTAAAGAAAACAGAAAGAGAAAAAGAAAAAAAAAACCCAAGAAAAAAGTTGCCAGTTCAGTCTCATCCAAGCCTGCAGAGCCATGGCCGTGCGCTGGTTGTCCTGTCACTTTGTGCAGCTGAACTTGTCAGTCTCCATGGCTTGAGGGTTGTATGTAGTGTGTCTATCTGCAGTCAGGCTGCATCGAGGAGGGTGAGGTCCCACCACAGGGTTCCTTTGTCCCTATTTCTCTCTCCTTTCCTGCCCAACTTGGTTGTTCACCTTGCTGGAGTTTACTCAACCTCCGGCTTTATCTAGCCCCATAAATATGCCTTTTCTACTGCTATCAGGCCTTACCATGAACTAGATCTTTCTTTATTTCTTTTTTATTGTCATTTTAAAAATAACCGAATTCTTCATAGATCTGCAGCTGTATATGTAGATTAGGAGCATCTGAATCAGGACAACTAAGGTAGCCTCCAGTACCCGCACAGGGAAAAAGAACTTAAACCAGATCTGCCGAGGGAGTAGTTACAGGGAATCATACCCTAAATCAGCTGAACTCACAACCAAGACATCCACAGAGGAGGCAGAAATAAAACCATACCAATCTCCAGTGAAATGAAACCCAAGCACACACAAGGGTGGAGGTACACACACAAATACACAAACACAAACACACACAAACACACACACACACACACACACACACACACACACACACACACACACACACACACACACACACACACACACACACACACACACACACACACACACACACACACACACACACACACACACACACACACACACACACACACACACACACACACACACACACAAACACAAACACACACACACACACACACACACACACACAGAGGCACAGGCACAGGCAGTGCACTTTAAGTCTTTTAAAAAGATGCCCACACATGAAGACAAAGAAATTATCAGAATAAATAAGTCTAATACTGTTTTGTTGTTGTTTAATTCCCAGAAGGGTCACCTACAACATGTCTCTCCAGAAAGACTCCACAATGAAAAAAACAACCCACAGTTGCTTCTTACTGATTATCCTTCTAATTGTAAGTATGATAAAAATGAACTGCTCATGACATCTGCCATACTTAATCCTGTGGTGATGTTTATAAAAATAAGGAGTATGAGTTATATTTCTTGTGCATCACAGGTCAAGGAATGGGTTCTGGTAACTGATAAATTTTGAAATAAAGTTAGCAAGGTTGCTAAATAAGGTATCTCGTAAAAATTTTAAATTGAAGTCAGTATTTCTTGGTGATACAGAAATGGAGGCCTGAAGAGGTAATGCATGTGCTTTTTCATTTCCATGTTTTACAGACTACAGAGTATCAGTAACATGGAAATTTATACTTTTGAAAACTTGCATAGCATTATTGAGCCAGACAGACTGACCTAATTAATTCTGGGTTTTCCCCGTTTATAGTTATTCTGCTCTGAGAAAAGCAACCAAAAGGGAAAATAATGGTTCAAAGATTAGTTATTCAGTTCAAACCCTATTTTCAATCGGTCAATCTCAATACTTCTGTTATTCCAGTATGTGCAACATGGCTGAATAGCTGCCTGTTCTAAATATGTAGCAAATTGGTTTCTATGTGACTGAATACCTCTCCTGTAAGTTGAATGCTTTCTGAGTCTCTGCTTGATAAACTTCAAGCATTTAGTAATTATCAGCCTCAGTTACAGAGCAGTCAGTATATATCTGGATGATGCTACTGGGACTAAGTGCCTCTCTGCCTCAGAGTTGAGTTACTTGGATGCCTGGTATCTCCTTATTTCCCAAGTAACCATCTACCTTTGTATTCCTGAAGAAAACTTGGAATACCTGTGCTTCTTAATTGAGTTTTGTTTGTTAGCTTCTCATGCCCTGGTAGGTGGGACTCAGTGGCGCACCCTCAGTGCTTGAACACTCTGCTCTGTGCAGTCTCAGTGCTTTGGAGAAGACTCTCTCCCATGTCTCTCCTTGAACGTTTTATCCTAGATATGGGATGTCCTTAGACCCCCTCCCCACCCTCTCCAGCCTTAGACTGATCACTAAGTCTTTTTGGTACTTTTTGATAGAAGCCATCTCTCTTACATGTTTCATTTTTGCATAGAATAGATAGCACTTTTCTGTGTAAAAGCCATAGTAACTCTCCTTTGCCAAGCGAAGGCTGTTTAAAAGCTGTTAACAGAAGCTATTAGTTCTGGAGCACCAGTTGCTCCAAAACTCATTTATTAGATTTAAAGCTAATTTCTTATTCTCTTCCTCTTTGATGACTTCCCTTGTTTTGGATACAGAGTAATGCCAGTGTGCCACCATCACCAGGTATTCCTCTACATCTCAGATAAAGTGAATTCCATTAGAAATTTTAGCAATTCTTCTCAGGGAATATTTCTTAGTTCACTTTATTCCTGATATTGTCAATTTTTCAGTAAGTATTCAGAACCATAGAATCTGACTGAGGATGTGTTCTTACCCTGTAAAAGAGGATTGATGATGCAGGTTTTCTCACATAGTCCAATTTTGTCATCCTGGGCCAACCACAAACTGCTTAAAAAGACAAAATGAATGCTCCAGATGAAGGCCACACCATTATTCAATTAGATCCGTTAGACCTAGACTGTATTTTAAAATAGATTCATTTTGAGTAAGAAACAAAATGCACAGGTTCATTAAGTCCAAATCTGTCTAATCATTAGCAAACCTCACTCACTATGCAGTCTTTTACATTAAATCAGATCCTGAAAGGCTCATGAACTCTTGAAATAATTTCCATTCACCAAACAAGGAAAAGTAGTTAAGTGAAAGCCTAAAAAGCAGCTAGTAATTTTATGCAACTGCACAAACTGGCATATTTTGGAACGTTATTACAAAAAGTTCAAATCTCCAGAAGCCAATTAGTAAAGCATTTGCCCTTGAATGAGGGCTCTGCTCATGGTGTATCCATCTGATCACTGCCTCTTGCAGCTGTGAACAGGATAGGTGCCCAGGAGGTGGCAGCCCACCCGTATGCTCCATCGGGCTCTTGCCACCTTCCCAGATCAACAGCTCTACCACAAGTCTCTAAAGGCCACGTCTGCACAGACACAGTGAGGCACACAGTGGATAATTATTAGTCAAGCCATAAGCCTTTCGCTGCCTAGACAGCAGCTCTTCCAGCATCTGGTCCAGAGCAGGTCTCACCCATTACTGGGCCAGAAGGAGCATTGCAGATTTGTCGCATCCTCCCTTGGCTTCACAAAACACCCTGCTCCCTTTCGGACCCTATTTGGAGCCCAGAGGCTTCTCCAGCCCCTCAGGACTATCCAGCTGACAATCTGGTTGGTCAGCTGTGCAGAAACTGCTGATGGCACATCTCTGTCTGCCAGCATGATCAGATCATTGACTTCTTGTGGCCTGTGGGTAATACCTTTGCTCACTGCCACGTTGCCCTCCCACTGCGTATCTGCAAGGATAGAGCCTCATTGTCTGTGATACTACCTTTGAGAGCGTTATTTTGAAGTGCATATTTCTCTTTGTAACTGTGGATTGCTGCCAGTTGTAGGGAAGTGGATTTACAAATTCAAGAGTTCTTCTCACACAAGGAAAATTTGTGAAAGTAAATATGTTACTGGTGGTTTAGAGATTTTCTTTCAGAACTACACTAGGCAGGGATGTTCATGAGGGAGAAAAATGACAAATTCTAAAAGTTAGCACACAATATTCAGGGATATTAGGACTTTTGTCTCCAACTTTGCTTACAAAAAAAAAATAAAAGAGTTAATGTTGCTATGCAGCTGATTACCCTAAAGAGGATTCTTAAAAGAAGATGATAATTAGAGCTGCAGTCTAAATCTGTGAAACTCCTGCAGCCTTCCTTTAAGCCCACATTTTCCATCAAGTTACCCTGAGAGTAAAGCTTCCTTGTTTGCACAAATACTGCAGCACTGGAAAAGAACTGTAAGACATATTCATGAACTGTTTTTAATTAAATGTGCTTTGTCTTCATCTGCTCATGACTGCATCTTGCTTGTTTAAACAGCTGCCAAAATCTGCAATATACATTGGATGGAATCTCAATATGAGACAACTTTCCATCCTTCTTCAACAGCAATTGAGTATGGAAAGATTTTAACATTCAGTGGTTAAACAAAATGTACTGTGTTGAGGTATTTCCCCAAAGAAATTGTCTGCTTTTTTGAAGTACATTTGTGATGGATAAGAAAATATTGTTATTGTTATGATTACCACGTACTAATGACCTTTGTAAAGCATCACAGTAGGTTTTTGTTTCACTGTCCTAATGCTAGTAACTGTGAAAAGGAGTTCAAACACAATCAAGGTACAACAGGGCTCTGCAACTGGGCTGAGTCATGTTGAGCTCCCACTCAAAGATATGATAATTTGAGGGGCAGGAGTTTAGTGAACCACAAAGTGGTGACTACTTATGGCAGTTTTAAAGCAAATGTTTTAAAATGTATTTTTGAGCTCTCAAAATCAATAACAAATAGTTGCAGCATCCAAATTTGCAATATATTTGGACTGAGCTCAACAATAAGTGTTACAAAATATTTAATGGAAGTAGGAAAAAAAAGAAGGAAAGCAAGCTACAGATAAATACCTTCCTGTCCTAAATTTCACATATTGTTAACAATCTGTACGCTTTGAAGTTCTTCATGGTGGAAGAAAAACATTTGGGGATACTTGTTCATCATGTCCAACGTTTTGTAAATAACTGAATTTTGTACTTGCTTTATCTGGATTCTGTCTTTCAGAAATGGGAAAAATCTTTCACGGGTTAAAAAGAAGTGTCTCTCTTACAGAAACTGGTGTATTAATTGGTAAATTCTAATATAGATTAATAACAAATCCAGATTGTTTTCTCCAGATTACTTCATCAGTTCTAGGTATAAAGTGATCTTCAGCATTCCAGGCAGTCTGTTCTTTCTCTTTGTAATGATAATTCATCTCGTAACAGTATTTGTCACGTGGTGGCTTGGTGGTCGTATGTATGACGTCATTTACTTGGACTTTTAGGAGTGACATCATATGTACGGCTGCTAAACTGCTGCATGGGACATCACTTTAACCAGTTTTCTTCAGAAGAAACACTAATCATTTTTAGGTAACGCAATACAACCCGATTATTAAGTTGTAATTTATTTATTTCTGTTTAATAAAGAATATTTTTAAATGAATGAGGCATTCTACTTTATTGTATCAATAGCGTTTATACTTCCATCTGAAATAGCAGATAGAGGAATGGGCAAGGTTATCTTGCAGTAATGGACTATGAGAATTTAGATTTTGTTCAATACTAGGTACTAACCAGATGAAAATGGTTTAGTCCTGACTTTTTCATGGTAAAAACATATGTTTTAAAACTTTATTCCCAAAATATCTAGGTATAATTATCAAAATGTAATAGCAGAGGTGATTCCTAATCATTTTTTCCACTCGTGTGTGTGTGTGGGTACAGGGACATTCCCAGTGTGTCCCACAAGCATGCTATGCCTTAAGCCTTTCCCCCCTTGCAGGCATGCCCAGGCTTCTTCTAGTTCTGATAAGAGAATAATGACACAGACATTTCTTTCCACCTCATTTGCCATTTCCAGACTCCTAAGGTAAGGAGTAGAAGAAAAATAAAATAATAAGTAATAATATCTAACATCACAAACCATATTAACATTTTTGGCTGATTAAGTCCCAGATATTCAAGGTTGAATCTTAAGCCCACAGAATTGAGTGGGAAGACTAATATTAACTTCAGGAAGATTAGGCTTTAGGCTCCAAGTACCTAAGTGGTGGTGGACATTATTCTTCTGCATACTTTAGAAGTCACTAACATTGCAAACGAAGGCTTCGATGGCCACTTCAGACTCCAGCAAGCCAGCACATTAGTTAGCTGAAATGCTCATCAGATTTTAAGACAAAAGAAAATATTATTCAGACTTCCAGGGGCCAGCTTTTCAAATGTAGGCAAACAGAAAAAAGTAATAGATACCAAATGGAGGAGTACATTCAAGGGCATGTCTGTATGAACAATACTAGTAACACACCCATGTATAACTCTTAATTTGACTTTGCACACAAGATGTTTGATTACATCAACAGTGCATGGAAATATTTGTGTGCGATCAACTTTAAAAATTCAATTATCTGTGTTTGGTGATAAGAAAAAAATAGTTAATTTAAGAGATAGCTGTAATTAATATTAAATATTCTAGTCTTTATGCATCAAGCTTTATATTTACTGTAGGCTGTTAAGTAATTTCTACTGGTGAAATAATTTCCACAGAGCTGTAGTGATACAGTCTCCTCTGTCTTTTTAATCTCTCTGACTGAATTTGTGAATGAAATGTGGGCAATAGAAATTTTGCTAGCAGTTTCAGTAAGGCCAGCATTGCCTTCCTCAGAGACCATAGAATCACCTTCATTACATGGCTGAGTACTTTAAATAATTTTGTGCGCAGTACAAAATACTTATACCATCCATCACCACAGAAACCTTGTGCAGCCAAATGTTAAAATATTCTCCTCAATCTGTACCCAGTGAGAGATGACTTCTTCAGGAATTGGATTAGTGTATTACACAGAGCAAGTCATGGAACTGACTTTTAAGAGTAAGGTGTTTTCACTCTCTGAATTGTATCACACCCCAAAAAATGATCATCCCCAGTAATAAACTGTTACTTCCTCACCAGTTAAAAGACATAATTAAACCATTTCTTTTCTGCTGGCATTTGTTGTGTTTAATGTCAGCTTATGATATTTTTCTGTACTGTTCAATCTTCTGGGAATGCACTGTCATTTTTAAAAAATTCTTTATAAGAGAGGATCCAAAAATCAGAAAAGGGGAAGGATGTTCTGAAGCACTTAATAAGTACTTACACTTTCTATCTGTATGTCTATAATTTGTCAGTTATTTCATATATGTATCGTGCTTTATTCTGTATAAATAAAGCAAATGAAACAGCAACAGTATTTATGAGCAGGGAGCCTGACCTTTCTGATCCCTTTGTCAATGTGAATTGACCTTTTTTAGTCAAACATATCTGAAGAACAAATAAACTCCTTCCTGGAAGAAAACAAAAAGCAAATGAAAACATTGTTTCAGAGGAAAGAAACTTGGTGAAGTTTCCCCAGCCTAATCAGATGGTTATGTTTTCAAAACGCGGATGTCTTCCCAGACTCACCTAGAATGACATATGCAATCCCATGGAAGCCCTAGCTTTCTCAGATTATACTGTTATTCCGTACTTGAATCCCAACAACTTGAAACAGGTATTGTTCAAAATAAGTATGGAATAAAGTAAGCATGGAATTTCTGTGGATCGTTTCAGGGAAGCACTAAAACCCATGGAGGTATATGGACATGAAGGGATGAGAGAGACTCAGGGTGGATAACTTGTCTGAGATCCTCTAAAGGGCACCTTATGAAACTCATCTGTGCTTTCCTGCACCATTTGTTGGATATGGGCCATTGCTGATTTGATCTTTAAAGGATATTTATGGACTCAGCCATTCTCTTTCATCTTTTCATAAGTCATGGATCCCAGATTTGCTTGGTTTTAATTCTGTTGAATTCTTCTGGCTTTCTAGATGCTTGATTTTTCACTTGAGCAGCCAGATGAAATAATCCAAATATCTTCTCTGTCCAAGTTATGGATATAGTTTTATATAGTTATATATATATATATATACACATATATGCATATACATGGTTATACATAGTTATATATAGATATGTAGATATATAGGGAGAGATATACAGTAACATATAGTTATATATATATATATATATATAAAACTTTCTACTAGAAATTTTTTTCCCCTCTTATTCCTCCCATTTTATATCGAGCAATTACTTAAGTGAAATGATATAAACTGCCTTCGCTATCGTCCATGGTCTTCAAATAGCATACAGGTGAAAATGAGCATCAATATCAGAAGAGATTAGATTAGATTAGATTCCAGAAAACATCAGTTAAATTTAGAAGTATAAAAAGATTGAACAGGAGTGATTTGGCACAAAAGGATAATGATATGGTAATTATTTTATTTTATCTAAGTCAAACACATTGTCTTTTTATGTATTCTACCAAGGTTTATTAGTTGTGCTAGTAGAAAGTGATATATTAATGAAATTGCTTGTGATATGGGATAAAGAAAAGGAAAAGCACCAATTTGAGAAATAAGACGTTTGTGGTTTGAAATCTGTCATGTTTTCAGTTTGAACAAATGCTTGCTTGAAGAACTGTGTACTCATATTTGATGACAATATAAATCTCATAAATTTGAATGTGCTCTGAAGGTGACCAATATAATCTGGAGCATACTCCTAGAAATCCTAAACCCTCCCTTTCATACTGAGAAAATAATAATGTTAATAAGTCTTTTTATGTGACTGTTGTCTAGGGAAATCGAGGTTTTGAATAAGAAAGATTCCCAAGAACACCAAACCTGTGTGCCTGTGTGAATCTCATGTTCTGAAGCAGCTTATAGATGACCCTGTATGTGTTTGTGATGGCTTTAGTACAGCTTTGCAGGAAAAAAAGTAGAGGATCAGGCAGAAAGGTGCCAGAGCAGCTTTGCTTTTGGTTGTGGAAGCAGAGGCACTAATCCTTTTCCTATCACCCTCATGTGGAGAAGTGTCCTGATACAGAATTAAGACAGGATAGAATTGAACTAAACCTACCCTGGCTCACAGACCTGGGCTGTGCAACAGAGGGATGAAGCAAGCATCTAGGGATAGAAAAAGGTCCACCCTCCTCTAACTGACCTATCTACCTGAGATTTTGCCTGCTGGAGGCAATGATCCTTCTGTATGCCCTGCAGGGAGCTCAGAGTGGAAAAGGTCAGATCCCAGTTGACTGAGGGACACTTTTTCATTCAGACTCTCAAATTTAGGAACACTTTGCTTAGATACTTATCTAACAGCTAAGGTCAGACAGAGAGGTTTAAACTCTTTGCCTCATGTTTCTGTAAACTTAACAGCTGAACGAGCTCAAAGCAGGTGATGTAAAATACGAATCAGATGATAGTTTCTAGGCTGTGGCACTGAGGAATTTTGTCTGGGTAGTCTAGAGAGAAATCAGCACCAGTAAGAGGAAACAGATGGGTGTAACTTTGGTGAGATGCATGCAAAATTTTTTGCAGACCATTATGTCAGATGAACAGATTTTAAAGATTTAAAAAGGGCTTGCTTAAAATCTTGAGTTTATAGTGAGGTAAGCTAGTAAAAATTCAGCATTTCCATTGCAAGCAGTAAAAGGCCTATCATAACGCTAAACAGATGTGCTTAATAATGTGTAATAGAGATTTCTGATCCTCACTTTTTTATCCTCCTGGTTTATTCACTTCTACTAACAGTTTTTCCTTTCTGTACAGAGAATGGTTCCAAGTCTTACTTCTACTGTAAATTACACTGATCCTACATTAGAGCCTGTAGTAACTGAAAATTCAGTCATACGACAGAAGATAATAGATTCGCAGTTCAAATGTTATGAGAGGATGAACAGAGCTCCTCCATATAGGAAAAAAGGTAAAAAGAAAAAATAAAATCTGTTCGTATATTGCTATGTTTGTTTATATTACTATAAAGAAACATTTTCTTCTGTGTATTAATACATAGTCTTCCTAGGTAAGACACTTCCCTCCAGTAGCGGTAGTCAAATTTGCACTAAGTTAGCATCCTTTTGTTAGCCACTGGGAGAAAAAGCCTAGAATGAGCACAGGGAATGAACAGCTTTTCCTTCCTTCCCATACAGACAATACTTCGACTGCATAGATGAAGTACATTTCTGGCTTACTGTTTTGCAGCTTGAATATCCATTTTTCTTGCTTAGGGAATATGATTCTCCAGAACTGTCAGTTCAGTATCTTTCGCTAAGCCCACACAAAGACCTAATTGTGATAAATGGTCTCTTGAACATAAGTGTCATTTTATTTGCTTCCCTCACCATTTCATTTTGCTGTCATTTGTGTATTGACTGATACCTGTGTCCTATACTGTCACAGATGGTCTACGTATTCCACATCCAATGGTAACACTAGTAAAAAGAAGTTTATAAACCACTGAGGACATATCTCTGCTGAATATGAAACACGTATTAAGATTAATAAGAAAGGAAATGGCAAATAACAGCAATGTTACAATGGCATGGTATGAATCAAGAAGCATTCCTAGCTGGGATTGAGTGTTGTGTTCGGGTCGTTTTCACAGAAAATATGGAAGGAGTTATGAGGAACTAGAGAAAAAATATTGGTGTGGTATTGTGGGAATTTATGCAAGCAAAGAACAGAAAGATTGAGGTAACAGTTTAAAGAGAAGATACATTAAAAACACATGATAAGGATACCCAGCATAATGAATGGGGTGGGGAAAATGTGTTTTTTTCATAATGCAAGAACAAAGACATTCCTATAACTCATTACCATAAATATTTTACCAATTTCTGTAAGAGTCATAGAACGATTAGATGTTGAGATGCTCGGGGTTTGATGTTTTGGAATGCGTAGAGAGATACTCATTACTTTAAATGGGTTTTAATTCAGGCCAATAATGGGAAAAACCCACAGGTATTTAAACAGTGTTACGGGATAGAAGCCTTCATGTTTCAGACATATACAAGTCTTTAGCTGCTGGGCTTGACAAGTAAAAAAGATACTGTCTGTTCAGATTACTCTTTCAGTCTCCAGCTCTATAAATATATAATTTTTGCATCCATGGATAGTTCCACTGGATCCCCCTTTCTTTTGCCCCTTGATGATGTGATCAGTTGCTGAAGCGTTTACCCTCCATGAACTAATTCTCATTAGCTATGAATTCCTGGTAGTTTTCTCATGGGAGATGTTGTCACAGGAGAACAGCTATGGTAGATCAGCAGCAACCTGACACAGCACAGCAATTCCTGCATTCCTTTGATTAGCAGCTAGATTTAAGTGAGAACTGTTATTTTCATAGCAAGGTGCTCTTAATTAATTTATATCTCTAAATGAAGATGATGGGTGAGTACGGAATGATGCCAGTGCTACTGAAGTCATCTTTTCACTATAGTTTCTATAAGTCACCAGGAAATTATAGAATCCTTACCCACCCTCCAACATTTATACCTCCTAAAGCGTTGGCTGTGAATAAGGGTCTAAATGTCTTGGCTGCAAATTTGAAAGGGAGGATAGGGTGAGATGGGAAATTCTCCTGATGCAAAGGGCAGCTATGGGGCAGCTCCTGAGGAGAAGAACCTGACATACTGGTTGAAGGGCTGTGCCATTTACGAGGTTCCAGCACAAACAGTTGTGGGGTTTCTGTCTAACACTGAGGCTTGCAAGAAAGCTCAGGAAGACTGATACTGCTTTGAGAGGCCCTGCCCAGATGTGTATAAATTTTTTCTGGGACCGCTGCAGCCCCTAAAGTAGCCAATTTCTATTACTGGCCCAAAGGTAGTTTACATCCATCATAATCCTGGGGCTCACGGTTGATGAGTATGAACTGCAGAGAACTGCACAGCCTCTCACTCTCAGAGAAGCCAAAGAGTTAGTGTAACACAGATGAGTTACGGCAGTATAACAAGTGGCCATGTGTCAGCCATGTACACATTTGTCTTGCCCATTCCAAGGTAGAATTGACTGACACCTGACCGTCCCTCTGGGACAGTGCTATGTTCCTTCCCTACCCATCCATCCAAAATCGTAGTCTTTTCAGCCAGTTGCACACCAATATTCTACTCCTCTTCCTTTTCAGTTTTATTGCTTACACTAGCTTATTTCCTGCACCAGTTGAAAAAATACATCTCTATATCCTTTTATCTATCTTGAAAGATACAATCTATAATGTATAGATCAACCCAATGAATTTTTTTTTCCTTACAAGGCAAAGTAAAGGATTTAAAACAAAAGCCAGAAATTCCTAACAAGCTCACTCTGCAGTGTCTCTCAGAAACAATGCTCAAGTTGCATCCATTTTCTACTCGTCTTTTCCTTTGATATTACAAAATAATTCCTTAAAAGTCTTTCAACTATATCTCAAAGACAAAGCAGAACATGAGAATGCCTGAAAGAAAGATAACAAACCGCTGATATCATGGTTTGTTAATGAACTAAGCAAGTAGCATTAGCACATTTAATTTGACAGTGGGAAAATATATGTGCATAAAATCTTAGCTAATGAGGAAAAAGTCCTCATAAAAATGTCTTTTTTGCTATAAAGTAACCTGGATAACATTAATTTAGAATGTTTTATGCTTTTGATTTTTAATTCAAAGCTCTTTTGGCTTAAAATAACAGACTTCTTTTGCAGCTTTCTAAATCTGTTGTAAATATTGTGTTTCTTAAAAAAAGGTTTAAGAAGAAGCTTATCTGAGGATAATTTCAAAGGCACCAGGAGCAATTAGGTGCCTACATTTTATTAACTTTCAATGGCTATTTAGAGCCTAACTTCCTTATGAGTCTTTCAAAAACAACTTACATGATCATAACAGCAATTCTAAAACTCCCTTGGGACCACAGCATAAAATGCAAGATGTATTTTCTCCTTGTATTTCCCTTTGACCTGGCAGTCATGATGATAAATATCTTTTCTCCAGCACAAACTGATTTTTAATGGAATATAATGAAGAAGTACAAATTTTTTAGTGTTACTTGACTAAATCTGCAATCAGTGAGGAAACTGTTACAACAAATGGTCTTATCATACAATTTCAGCTAAGCAGTATGTAACCTCTCTGTAATGGGAATCAAGAATGAGCCTGTATAATGTACTTCTAGCACGGCAAGGAAAAGCAAAAATCAAAGATTTTTTCCTCTCTTCTTCGTCATCTTTTTGGGGGCCGGGAACATTGTTAGTAGGGGATATAGCCTGGCCAGTGCTACCTTCCCAGAAGAGGCATGAAGAAGATGGGATTGCTGTGCCTTCCCCACGCAACGTCAGAGGGCAGAGTTAGCCTGTTGCAGACAGCTGGAAACGCCCTTTGATCTCACACCTTACTTCACTGGATCTACAGGTTATCACAGCCTACCTGTGGTCTTGGTGTCACGAGCCACAGCTTTAAAGATGCACGCTAATCTTTCGTCTTGAGCAATGTAACAAACTCACAGGGACCAGTCTGTGCAAATGTTGCCTTTACCTGGGATATCCCTGCAAGTTCTTCCTAACTGTGCACTTCTAAGACTTGGTCTTCAGACCTGCTGAACAGCAGAAGCTGAAATGAAGTGTGGATGTCTGTCAGGATCCAGGCAACGGAGGGTCCCTTTACCTCTAGCCCATGTACTTAGGGCTAAAAAGGCAAGGGGAATCAGGACCAGGAATCTGTAGGATCAGACTTACATTCAAAGTTCAATTCAACTGGCTTTAAGACATCATTTACCAGTAAAATTAACGCCACTGATGATAAGTCAGCAACCACAAGTACCCTGTAGCATATGAAGGTCAGTCAAAGTGTAGTAATAATAAGATTTTTTTTTTTTGTAAAAAGAAAACGCTTTATTATCTGCAAATGCCACTATTCCTTGGGAGAGTAGAGCAGAATGTGTGCAAAGTGACTATTTGTTAAATTAATTACTGAATTTCCCTTGAATGTTTAGGTCTGTTCTGTAACCGAACCTGGGATGGATGGTTATGCTGGGATGACACACCTGCTGGAAGAATCACTGCTCAGAATTGTCCAGATTACTTTCCAGACTTTGATCCAACCGGTAGAGTATTACTTTTCATCATTTTATATTTCAAAGGAAGCCTTCAGAACATTCATGCCATTAAATGGAAGCATGTTTCTAAAGGCATTTTTGTGGCGTTGTGAAAACTCTTGAGAGGTTGTCTGAAATGAAAATGTATCCAGTCATTGGGTTGCATAATTTATATATTTTAATTTTAAAAACGTTTTAAATGTATTTGCATTAATATAAATTTTGCCCATGGATTTCTGGAATCTATTTTATGAAAATATTGACTGTTTGGTAGCAATACCAAACCATTTTTTAAAACTTAGTTCTAAATTTTTCTAATGAAGAGAAAATGCTGAAAACATTATTCTGTGTATGAAATATATATCAGCATTTTCTCTATTCTATTTTTATTGGAAAATACAGTTTATGGAAGAAAGCAAGCAGAAATAATGTTCTTTCAGTCACAGAGTTTTTGCTGTTCATGCAGATACTTGCAGCCTTTTAGACTAAGATAGCTAAATCAAGAACATTTAAAAGGGCAAATGAAAGAAAAAATCAAGGACAGAAATGGTGATAAAAAGGTATGAGGAAATATTAGATACAGCTAAAATTCCACAAAGAGTATTATCTGAAAAGAGATACAATTGTATGCTCCAAACTCAAAATGTATTGCTTATGGGCAATGTTTTATGCCACAATGTGCTAGATCAAGCATAGATACAGTGTGCCGATTGCAAATAAAAATTATGAAACTAAATATTTGGCGGGGGACATAAAAATCTAAACATTTTCAACAAGATTGAAACAAAATTTATGTGTCTAATTGGAAAGTAAATAGACAACTGCATAGCTGTAAATTAATGTCTTAATTATCCAGTTAAATAGTTAAACTATCGTTTTTTGGTGGTTTGTTTACCTCTTTAGAAAGAGAAGATTTTCCATGTTGGATCAGACCCAGCAGATATTTAATTGAATCCTATTTGTAGTGGCAGCCAGATTTGTCAGTTTTTCTGATCTTTAAAAATCAAGCTAGCCGTGGCTAGAGAATTCACCCAGCAGGTGGAAAACTTCAGCATCAGTCCCAGTTTGCAGGGATTCAAATCACCATCTTCACCTGGATGAAGGAACCTCCCCCTTTTCACTGGAAATGGGCACTGGACAGGAAAGAGTAAAGGGTTCAATGTTGCAGAAAGGGAGGGAGCAAGGCTGCATGCTTGTCTACCTCGTATGGGATCACCCTGAAACCTATGGCACAATTCTTACATTAACTAACATTCGTGGTGTACTTTATGAGCACTGAATTACAAATTCTTGTCATTTGTGTCCTTGTTTACTTTCTGACACACTTAATCTTGAACTGCTTTCTGTACAGTATCATAGTTTTAAAAGGGGATTGAACAGCCTTGCCGCAGGGTCAACCTCACACACGAATCCTTGGTGCACCCTGATGGGAGCTGAGACCCCTCCAGCTAAGGGGGGCCTTTCACCTGTGTCTCCCACTCCACAAACAAATGCTTTAACCATTAGGCTATTTGCACACAAGATGCTAGGAAGAGTATTTTAAAAGAATTGGACAAATTCCATTCAGTTCTCTAACAGAAGTGCCGAAATTCAGGAGGGAGTTTGAGGCTCTGGAGCGTGAGGTTACAAAGGTTTTTTGCCACATTCCTGGCAGATGCCTTGGATGGAGTCTATACAACAATCCCTTTGATGAACAGGCCAATTTACTACAACTAGTCTGCTTTCCCTCCTTCCACAGTTTTCATAGAAGGAAAAAGAAGTGATGCTAACAGTCCTGGTTTATGTTAAATGGCATATTCCATATGCCATTTAGGTGGTAGTACAAGCAGGTATTGGACAGCTCTAAAGTCCCAAAATTGTCCCCACAACTTCTAGATCATCATCCCACAATGATTGGGGGTGATTATAGAGCAACTCTCCCCCTAGTTCTCAGAATACCTGTTACTAACTCTTCTACTGCCTTCTTGTCTCCAAAGCCCCATTCTGAACCAACCTCTCCGTACAACAACGCTCTTCAAAATGAAACTTTAAACCATCCATAGAGAAGCACCTCACTCTTGCTATTAGTGGTCATTAATGTTGAGGTCTGTGACTCATTCAGCTGATTGCGTGTGGTTCCTGTAGATACTTACACATATAAATATGTGCCGCAGAATCTGGCCCTCACTGTGTAAGCACAATTGTTATTCTTTCTCCCTAAGATTAAAGCTTACATTTTATACATACATATATATATATGTGTGTGTGTATGTATGTATGTATGTATTTAATTCCTGTTATCCGTACATATTTTTCGCACAGCAGGGGGAAAAATTCTCGTCTGGTAATTTCCTGCTATTTTTGCTGCTGTCTTATTTAGGGGCAATATCTACAGTATCTGCATTTTGCTCCCAACACATTTCTCTGCCCCTTTGTCAATACCTCCATCTGCCTCTTTGCCTGCATCCTAGTCACTTGACACTGTTTCCATGACACAATAGCAACTCAGCAGCTCCTGCTTCAGCCAGAGTCGCTTTCCTAGAGTATCTGTTAAGTACCTCGGCACTATTACAGCTACTGCATAAAACCAGAGGGTAGTCAGCCTTTGCTTTACAGGTGGCTGATCGTCACATGGGGACCTAATAAAGTAGGAGGGAGACAAAATTATGTGGTGACTAGAAATCTTTCAACTGCTAATGGAAGTGGCTGCCACTTAGAGGTGGCCAAAAGCACAGGTTCAACCATCCTGCGAAAAGTCTGTCAGATTTTGTATCACAAGTCATTATTTTCTTTGATAACTTATGTTTGTTAAGCAAAATACAGCTAGATTTTCTTCTGAGAAACAGAAATTTAATCCCAAAGAACAACAGTTTTTCAAGACGAAAACTGCAGTGCCTGTCAGATTTCCTTCTCATTAAGGCTCCATGATCTCAAACCACCTCAGCATATATTTCAGACATACAGCCAACTCCTTTGACTTCAGTAAGAAGTATTTCATATTGTGCTGCCTTGGGCTGCCTTATCTGCAGAACTAGTATATACCAGATCACTGACATCTAAGTTACTTTTTCTTGGGGTCATATATAACTTTATGTCCTAGAATAAAATTCATTGTCAAGCATTCTTTTTGCACTTTGATACTTACTTCATTCATAACTGGAAAAGTGAAGCAATATCAGGCAACATAAGGTCTGATCCTCCTAGCCATCTGCACCTGTGAATGTTATATAACAGATCTCCATATCCAAACCCCCAATAACATTCAGTATGGATGCCAAGAGGAAATTGTTACAGTATGTTAGAAAGTAAATGAAGTGAAATCATATTCTGGCAAAAACAGCCCAGAAGCAAAATGAGAGAGAAAGAGCATACTTAATGCTTAGTCCATTTTCTGTCTCACAGCTTCACAACCAGCTCAATCATCTGATGTAATTCCACTTATTTCACCAAACTTTTATTAGTTCATACTGGATATAAATCTGAGTTCTGAAACAGGAAAGCATCACTGTAATAATCTAGTCTGTTTAATTAGCTAGGGCTTCCTACACTTCTTTTCCCACCTGATGCTGATCTATCCCTTGAAAGGAAATTAGTATCTTAAAGCAAACCGACATACAGAAATCCCTCTCTACAAGCTGGGACAACTGTTGCCTATTGTAGCAATCTCTTTCTCACAGTGATGATCATGCACAATGTGATAATGCATAAAAACGAATCAATGTGTTGGGGGAACATATTGAGCCCTACTGGTTTAACTCCAGTGACAGCACAAACGTCATCGTTTTATCCATCCGTGTCTGTGAATCTCTGAGCAGGGCTAGGTTTTATACTTTCATGTTCAGACATCATATATAGTTTCCCTTGATTTATATTTTATATTCATATTTTATCAAGGTTAATCTTTGGTGTAATTCCTTGGAATAATTCCCAGTCATGTTGAAATTGATAGGAATTGCATTTGATAGGAATATAGTACATAATTCATTCTGGTAATATTCTTAAAATGAAATAGAATGAAAATGAACTGTGGATGTAATGGCCTTCCACCAAGATGGATTTACTGGGGGCATTATGAGGAGCAGATTATTGCCCTGTGCAATGCACAGGCAGTTTGCTTTATGGCAGGGGACGTTCTACTACCCACCTCACTAGCCCAGCTTTCTGCTCATGGTCAGGGTGAATTTGGCCCAATCGCATATAGCAATATAGCCTAATATACAAACTGCATTATGATAGTAACACCTTTTCACTTCATTTTCACTTCCTTTCCTCTTTTGGCAAAGCACATGGTTAAGAGCAGTAACCACCCAATGCGGAGCAAACCTGGCTGGCTCACAGGCAGCTGGCTGACCCAGTGATCCATGGCTGCTTTTACCAAAGCTCCATTCAGTTCTCTGCTTAGTTGGACTTATTTATGTCTTTGATTTCATTTTACAAACTAATTGCTCATAACTCTCCACATGGCTCCAAGAGCAAAGTTTTTATGAGGACAATTCAGAAATAGATCCATATATGTGTGTGTATATGTATGTATGTATGTATGTATGTATGTATGTATGTATGTATGTATGTATGTATGTATGTATGTATGTATGTATGTATGTATGTATGTATGTATGTATGTATGTATGTATGTATGTATGTATGTATGTATGTATGTATGTATGTATGTATGTATATGTATATATGTATATGTATATGTATCCATAAGCAATTATGTCAGAGGAGGATTAATATCTTGTTATCTCTCATGACTGAAAATTATGGAAGTAGAGCCTTTTCTTATTACTCTGACACTGACTGGAGGGAATGAGAACCCTTCACTGGAGCATGGATCATGGTTCACACCTTACTATCACTGGGATCTGAGGAACACCCCGGCAGCAGAGATGGCAAAGGCACAGGCAGTAGTTTTGCTCACTACTGCTCTCTTCTTGTGCCATTTTGCAGTCTCTGAAACCTTTTGTCTTCTGTAAAACATATCTTCAGAGGATAAATGTCCCATGCAGGAGAGGGGGAAAACACTGAATAGTTCTTGTGGATCCTTCTCAATGTGGCAGCTATGACACCAGTGGCTTGTGGCTACAAGGGACTGGATATGATGGGCACAAACAGGTCCTTTTCTCAGCTAGCAAAATGCATAAAGCTGAGTAAGATACCAAACCGACAGGCGCAGTCATTGCAGACAAGAAATCATGACCTTCCACAAACTGGAAAGACAGAGACCTTCTGGGTGCCAGCTCCATCCCACCTCCCTGGCTCAGGGCAGGCAGGGAGGCCACTTTCTCAGGCATCCCCTGCTTCAGGCAGCACCCTGACTGCACTCCCCTAACTAGTGAGCCTACTCTTGTGTGCCCAGTCCATCCCATGCTCCTTCCCACCCTGCGCTGCGCCTCAGCACGGCTGCAGGTCTGTGCTTGCAGCCAAGTTGGAGGCAAGAGGAAGCCGCCTCAGGTGCCCTGGAGCCACAGGGACCTGCTAGAGCACTCTGAGCCACACAAGGAGGACTGTGTCATGGAGAGCCCTTCTCTTCCTCCCACAAAATCAGATTGCATCTACCCTGCTAAAAGGCCTTCAGCTCTGAATTTCTGCAGGTCCCATTTTGCTATCTTGAAGTGATATCTTTTAGACAGTGATAAATCAAGCAAGTCTATTCCTTCAGCTGGATTCTTTGTCCAGCTGCTTCTTTCTCCCCTTCCCCTTCTGTATGTTTCTATCCTGCTTCTTAGCAAGCTTAACAGCCACATTTTAAACATCATTTCTTATCCCCACAGTGCATAACATGACTCTATTATACAGATTCCAGTTCTGCTAACTAGAGGCATTTTGATAATATCTCTGTTCAGTTATACGACCGCAGAGCTGAAGTTTTCTAGGGCTCCATTGTGTTATATCAGATCTTTTTTTGTTGTTTTCAAAATAATTTATTCTAGAATATTTTACTGCTGATATAAGTAAATCAGATGTGCTACAGAAATATCAGCAATTCCTCCTCTGCAAAACTAACTACTACTCAGATCCATCCAAAGAATGGCAAACAATCCAATGTATGGTATGTGCTGCGCATGCACTGCAACAGAGGAAAACTTCTGTTAACTTCCAACATATAACTCAACAACTTAAAAAAATGACTCTTTTAGCATCTGTTAGCCACAGAATTGTTCTAATTGTAAAAGAGCTGATTGATAGAAGTGCCATGTTTGTTTTGTTTTTTGGGGGGTAAGATATTTGCTATATGTAAATGACTGACTTGTTTTGTATGAAAATACAATTCATAAAAGTACTGTTGGTAGCTCAAACCCCACACAAAACTACTATTACTTGTTTTAAGTACTCCCAAGAAACTGCAATTGTGGGTAAGATTTTTCTCATCTGGTTCCCAGATAGCTCTTGAAGTGTCTGTCATTCTCAGGGAACTACAGAGATCCTGCACAACTGCCTTTGAATAGATGTATAATTTAAGGTACCTGAAGTCAGGTGAGATGAATCCCACCCAACATCACAATTCCTATCTTCTGAATAATGTGATACCCAAGCGATCCAAACTGGTAGGACATAGTTGTAACCTAGACAATTAGTGTTCGCATAATATTTTAATAATCTTAGAGCACATACTTCCATTTTGCCTTGATAATATTCTTACCCATCCTTATACATTTGTGTATTTCTTCAGAGCTTACTACAGATTCCTCTCTTTAGCACAAAAAGGAAACAGCGTATGTCCAGATTTTGTAATCCCATGCTTGCTACTGGGCCACCATAGAAGAACCTCCAGTAGAAAAAGTTTGGGTTACAAGCTCACAACTTTATTTCTATGTAAAAGTATAGATTTAGAACAAATGCTAGACCTATTTGAATCACTGGAATAGACGGGGGCAGGGGGAGAACGGCGTCCCAGGGTCAAGCATCAGTTTCATCATACAAAACTTCTTTTGAAGAAGTTTCCTGTCAACTTCTTCAAAAGCCAGTCCTACTGACTAAACCCACCACATCACAGGGTTACCCTGGGTAGAGGAGACCAAGGTACTCAGAGTGACTCTTTTTATTTATAATTTTTCAACAGCAGAGAGCAGTAACATGAAAAATTGTCCTTTGTCTGATAAAGTTTAGCCATTTATGAAATCAACTAGGATCTTATGAAGAAAAATTTTTAAAAGTTATATATCGTGATTAGCAAGTCTATCACAATCCCATATTGTGATAACATCACAGTAAGAAATCAGTGGGCTGTGGCAACACAAGCAGCTTCCAAACTAGGCTCAGCTATGTCTGTCTGGATTCAAGGAAAAGTGTAAGGCAACAGATTTGCCTCTAATTTACAGAGGCCACATTAATTGAGGCAGAGAGCCCACCTAGACATTAAAGTGCAGAGATGATAGATGATATCAGCATTATGCTCTATAGCATATTAACAAAAGCCATGTACATTGCCCAGTACATAGGATAGTAGGTACAGTATTTGTACACTATGTTCCATGGTAGAGTAACCATTAATCTTTATCTGTGACTGAAAACTTTTTCCAGCTTTAGATAATATCTGGCAAAGAGTACAAGGGAAACATTGCTGCACAGGCAATCTAAGATTATCTCCAAGCTGAAGCGATGGAAGGCTGAGATAAAATGTACTGTTCCTCTTGTTGTTGATGCACGTATTGATTTTCAACAAGTCCCCTCCCCCCCCAAATGATTTGAAACTCACACTAATTTCAACAATATGCTATTTTATGGATGACTAAATTGTCTTTTTTTGCAATGGTACTGTATAAAGTTAATTTCTAGTCGGAGGAAGATAGCACAGCCTATACATACTTGCCAGTATGATCAATAGCTTTTCTTCATTAGGATGTAAAGAGGGAATATGAATCTTCCAAATTAATAGGCTCATAAATCATCAGATTTGGTTAGGAAAAATAAATGCATATCCTCAACCGGAAAAAAGGCTTATGTTCAAATGGTAACTGGCTTTGTAAAAGTATCATGACTGGAAATGCTAATACTGTATGCATAGAACCAATACAATTAATAAAGATAAAATAGGTGAAGAGAAGTCAAGGTAGACTTTTTGTACTTTTATATAAAAATTCAAACTTGTAATACTTTGTTTTTCATAAAATAAAAAAGCTATACCATTATCTAAGGAAACAGCAACTAATTAACGTTTCTGATCTTATACACTTCCTGCTTTTGTTACTCAGACGAACTTTCCACTGACTCCCATGTGGCTAAGGCTTGAGTAAAGGCCAAAGGAATGAGTCCAAATCTTGACAGGTGATTAGAAGTGACTGCTTGTACTTCAGCTTCCAGGGTTTCCCAGACAGAAATTTATGCATGGCCGAGAGGACACATGCACAGCACACATCTGCACTTCCAGACATCCCTCAGCCTAGTCAGGGCTATACATTTCTGAAATCCTTAGAGTTCCTCTACCACGATAAAAGGACACGTGCAAGGAATTATGAACCTGATGAGCTGTCTGTACTGCACGGCTCTAGGAGAGGATGTCAGAGCTACCTGTGGTGCAGAAGTCAGCCCTGGATGCCCACGTGGAGAGGCCAAAAGCACATCAGAATTTTTGAATGTAGCGCTCTGCAGCCATTTTAAACTAAACTAAACACTTGGGGCCCGTGCCAAAGTGTCCATCCATTGCAAGTATGCTTCTCTATATGCCTGCGTGCTTTACAGGCTCAGAGCAAATAAAAAGTGCTCCCACCGGCTTCTGGCAGGCTTTAGCTAGCACGGAGGTTGGGCAGGACTCTTTGCCCATTTGCGTAAAAGCAGTGCTAACAGTGGAACTGTATCACCATTTCTCTAATTCCTGGACTCCAGTTAGTACCGCTGCTTGCTATGTTTCCACCACACGATACTTTTAACTGTTGGTTCAAGAGACAGTTTCAGACCACTGCAGCACTTTGTAACGATAGGTGATGTTTGCCCCAGCTCAGTCTTCCAGGGCAGCTCTGTGCAGAGAGCTGCAAAGCACTGAGTCATGACTGACCAGTGAGAGCTAGTTTCATTTATGGCTTCTCCTTAGGCCAGGTATTCCCCATAACACATTAAACCCTGCTACAAGATTCAGTCCATTTGTGTCTGTGTAGTGATAGCCGTTTCTTCTTGTGAGTGAAAAAAAAACATGTTTGGAACCAAAAGCTTTTGATTTACATGCTAGGAAGTGGATGCATCCGTTTTCCAATGTTAATACTGTAGACTGGCATGAAAACTGAAGATATGCAGACACCACTGCGTTTCATGTGTACACCTTGTACAGGTTCTGTGTCTAAGCTTAACACTACTTTTTCTTCCATAAACAGCCTCTTTAAATTAGTTATTATCACAAAATGAAGACTGATAGCTATGCTCTACTGCATTCATTCAAGACCAAAGGAGACAGATAAAAGATAAGGTTGTTGACAGATAAATCTCTCTGAGGAAAAAAAAGAAATAGAAAAATATATATTATCTGGACGAGTTGAAAACCCTTTGGATTTTGTTACCCAGGCATTTTATTTCCAAATATATTACTTCTCTTTGATGGATGTTTAAATGCATAACATGCACATGCTAAAATAACTATTATTGAAATTTATCTTCAGAAAGGGCTTCAAAATATTGTGATGAAACTGGAAACTGGTTCCGCCATCCTGAGAGCAACCGAACTTGGTCCAACTATACTTTGTGCAACTCTTTCACTTCTGAAAAATTGAAGGTATGCTACAGTTAAAAAGGCACTGATTGTCTGAGAATTGTTGGGGCCTGGGCTGGCAGCAAGATACATATGAAAGAAGTCAGAATAGTCCTCATCATTCAGCTTTATTTGCTGCACAAGAATGTAATAGGATTGTCCTTGAGGTGCTAACTTATTAAAATTATTGGATGAATATTCAAACCTAAGTATGGGTTTGTACAGAATGGATAATTTAGTAGCAATTCATACGACCAGTTTTGCAATGTTTTTCAAATGCATTTTTAGTTACTTTTTCCCTAATTGACCAACAGCTATAAAGTAATCCCTTAAAATTTCATTTTTATTTTCTGTAACAAGCATCTCCCAAGTTGTTGACACCTTCTTTGCAGGGTTACAAGTTTTAACATAATTTGAAATTACTTTATATAAGCAAAGAGTATCACCCTATAGTCACTCCCTTTGAAAAGAAATATTTATGAAGATACCATTATGGTGGAAAATCCTACAAGCCTGAACACATTTAACAGTTCAATTGAAGTCAATGAGATTCCTAACAAAGCATTTGCATCAATATTTCCAAAATCAAATTGCTCAGCTGAAAGAGGAGAACTAAGTATAAAGGCACCAAAAGAAACAAGGAGAGAGAAATCTGAGAAAAGCTTTGAAAAACTAAGTTAGGGAAGCTCATGAAAATAAACATATTTCTCAAATGTGAATGGAGCTCCAGGAAAATCTGATTACAGATTCATGACAGAATAATTTGTGACTCTGGAATTGTGGAAGGAAAAGAGTCAGAAAGTGATTTGATTTGGGGTTTGTGTTGGAGGATCTTTTTTTACCCCGCCAAAAAGCAGTCTGTGGTAATATTTAGTAGTGATCCAGCTTAAAGTGCCTTGGAAAAGGCTACTGGACTAGATGGGAGGTAAATTCTAAAAGTTTTTGAGGCATGAGGAACCATTGTGGTAAAATGGGGCTCACCTGTGTAACAAGGAGAGAATAATAGTAACAGTCTGAGCTCACAAAGGTATTAAATGGAAATACCATAAAAATATAATTTTTCCAGATGTTGGCCCATGTGGAGAAGTAAAAAATGTAGTTCTGTTACCTATTATCCATGCCTTCCAGAAGAAGAATTTTGAACATCTTTCAAGCAAAGTGCAGATAGAACACAAAGGAAAATTATACGTACGTTGAGATTTTTCTGAAACAAAAAAATAATGGAAAATGCAGAAAGAATTTAACTTTACAGTAATGCCAAGTTGGATTATGACCTTTAATCCAAGCCTTCAAAAACTAGGAGTATGCTTTATTTCTAGAGTCTTTCCATGTACCTACAGATAATTTAATTAACTGAGTAGGAGGCATTTCTGTTGGTGAATTCTCTTTTCTCAAGTGAAGAATTTGAGGGAAAAGGGAATATTTAAGTGTTTCTTTTAGAAGTTTTCTAAACCCAAGATGAAAAAACATGCATAAACTGTAAAAAATTGACAAGTCAGCATTTTATAAATCCTGTATGGCAGAAGGGGTATGACAGATTGATGTTTTAAGGAGTGCAGGAGTTGACACAACAGTTTATTATTTTTTGAAGATAGCAGGGAAGATCAATACGCTATAATTGTGAGATAGATTATTTAAAAACCATATTGCAGCCAGTTTTTACAAATGCGGTGATATACCATATTCTTTGTTATCTGACAATTCAGTGCATTCTGATCTGCCTTTGTTATTATTTTTGAAAGCTTTTTTGAAGCTTACAATATTAAGTTTACACGGAGTAATCAAAAATGCTATTGTTGAGCCCCAGGTATCCAGTTAGAATGATTTAGCAGTTGTATGATGACAGATAGATAGTTAGAATAACTATGAGTCTTCTGTGATGCGCACACATATGCACTTGCATGTGACTAGGCATAATCCTTTCCTACTTTACAGCTGTTTCGGGCAACAAAACAAAAAGTTTATAAACAATTGTTCTGTAAATAAAATTCAGGCCTGGAAATTTTATTCAATCTGATATAGTGAAAAACCATAGCAACCATTTAGTATGCATTGGAAGAAATGTCACGTGCATGCATGTATAAACCTCTCCTGCTACTCCGTTTTGGGAAAGTTATCTCATCTTTCCTGCAGTCTAGATGACCCTCCTTGGAGCTTCTGGTGCTCTCAGAACAACTTGTCAAGCATTTGCACTCATTCGTGATATTATGGTTATTCACCACAGAGGGAAACTAGGAGACTTAGAGTTTTTCCAGCTAATATTCACAGATAGCTACTTGTCATAATGCAGCTCCTCCACCCTCTTAATTATTTTTGTTGCCTTCTTTGCACCTTGTGCAGCTCCACTGTGTCCTTCTTAAGGTGTGGAGATCAGAAATTCATAAGCATTTGAGACATGGGAGTGCCAAGTTTTAAACAGTGGCAAAATGTTATTCTATTCTCAGTACCTTTCCTGATTATGTCCAACATTTTGTTGACCTTTTGGCTGTCACTATGTATTGAACCAATGATTTTGAACCATCCAGGATGATACCAAGATCTCTTTCCTGAGTTTTAGTTGTCAGGTCTGAGTTCAGCATTGTGCAGATTATTGGTTTAGATTATTTCTCCCTAGATGTATTACCCCACATTCATTCATTTTGAAGCTCAGATGGCACTCTAAGCTCACTTAGTTTTTTGAGGCCCTTCTGAATTCTCTCTCTATTATCTGGAAGAACTAAGCATCATGTAGAAACTTAGAGACTTCTCTGCATCCTCCCATCACAGATCATTGATGAAGATCATCATGAAGATGTTGAAAAAAAACCAGCCTCAATACCAATCCCAGAGGCACCTTGCTGCTGACTCATCTCTATCCCCAAAGTAGCCATTAAGTCTTTACTCCCTGTTGTTTAAGCAGTTTTCAGACCATGAAACGACCTGACAAGCTGTTTCTTTTAATAATTTTTTGGTATGGAATGTTTTGAAAATCCACATAAGTTACGTCCACTGTGCTCTCTTAGGGCTCTGGAAAGTTAGTGAGGCACAGAGTTAATGGGAATCTTGCCAGTGGCTTCAGTGCAGAAGACAGCAGAAGCATATCAGCTTATGTAAGAAACACTTATCTCATCTGTAGACCTTGACTGATGCTATTTAATATATTGCTGGCATTTAAAGTATATTACAAAAGAATCTCTGAAAGAAAACAAATACAAAACAGGAAGTTGATTTTGTAGGTTATTCCTCAATGAGAAATAAATGAGGGCCTACAAATTGTTCATGTTTGCTTTTTGTTTTTGTTAAATTGCAGATGGCATTCATACTTTATTATATGGCGATCGTTGGCCATGCTTTGTCTATAACATCCCTGTTGATTTCCTTGGCGATTTTCTTCTATTTCAAGTAAGTGTTTTTTACAGACACTCTTCTTTCCCTGAGGGATCTTAAGTGGTAAGCAAAGTAAAGCTTGGAAGGGAATGTGGCAGTGAGAAGCAGCTCTTCCCAGTACCTCCTTATATAGTCTTGGTAAAAAAGCCTCAGCACAGGGTCACCTTACCAAAGGGACATCTCTCAGTGGTGTAGTCAAGAGCATACTGTTACACTTATCAAGAATAACATAAAAGTGAGAAGTGGTGTGACTGGGGATTCAGTAAGCATTCTTTATTTTCCAGTTGCCTGTAGATCCTGGGAGGGTATGGCCAGCCACTGCAATGTCAAAGACGGTGAGGGCGGTAGCTTGGAGCCCGCTACTCCCTGAAGGGCAGGAGTACTCCCATCCGTTGCTGAAGAACTGAGGAGGCACATCCAAGACTCAGCAGTAGGGGGTGAACGTGACACCTAGTATGTAGCCTGTCGTCATTATTAGGAGGAAATAGGTGATGTTCTGCACAGGAACTTTAAAGGGGGCTAAATTATCCAATATTCACCCAAAATATTTGCAACTACTTTATGCAAACGGAACTAGAGCATTTAAATCATGTCCATTAGAGAACGTGCTGCACACTATTTATCAGAATGTGTCTGCAGCGGAGGAGCAGAGGGAGCCTAGTTTTGCCCTCAGACATTGTAGTCACAGATTCAGCTGCAATCAGTAGTGGCAGATTTTTCTGGGAACAGCCTTCTGTTTCCAGCTCAGTGAAACACTAAGCACTAGAAAGCAACAAAGCACCACATTTTCTAACAGATTAAGCTCTCCAATTATTTCTTTTTTTTAAATCACATGAAAAGTTGTTATATCTAAATCATACTCTAGCCACAGAGGATTTCTCAATGGCAGTCGCAATGTTAGGTGACAGTGAAAGATTACTATGGGGAGAATATTCAAGGATAACCACTTGGCAAAGCCCTGAGCCATTGTACATACAGAGCTATGAAGACTTGGATAAAGTATGTATTTCCATTGGCTCTTAGGTAATCTTTTTGTGGTGTAATGAAAGTGAAATGTTTTCATTACACCACTATAAATCGTAAACTACCAGGACTGATAGCACACTTCAGAAACTGGTGTTGTAATGTCCGTTTACAGATATTCCGATGCAAGAGACAAAGATAGGATTTTTTTAAACCTGGTAAAATGACCCAGGTGGGATGGTTTGATCTTGCTGATTTCAGCAAAGGTGCATCAGTTACCTGCAATCAGAGGGCCAGATCTTCACTTCATGACCAGAGACAGGGAAATGCTCACCATCAACAGAGGTCTGGAGATTGTAATTTAGCTTGCCTGTAAGAAATTATTTCAAGTTAAGACTGTTGATTATGCCAGAACACAGATATGCCCGCTTGTGGATGACAAGCTATCCTGTCATTTTTAGTACTCCTAGTCCTGTGAAGTGCTAGGAAAATGATTGTAAAGCAGCCATGGAAGTTGTTTTGAAAAACTTATTCATAAAGATGAGGAAACTCTTATGACAAAGAACAGTGGGCTGAGGAAGAGAAAGCAGTTAACCAGGGTAAAGAATGGGCAACATTTGATTTTGGAAGAGGTAGGTAGTGACAAGGGTCGTTTCAAGTAGGGGAGGAAAGGCCTAGTTAGGCAGGGACTAGCTCACTCTTGGCGGCTATTATTAGAAACTTTTGCTTAGAGGAATAATAGCTAAAGAGAGCTACAGATTCATTTTTAGACAGATACTCCGTGCAAATCGGCATCTTGTTTAACTTATTTGGCGTTATGCTAATTTACACTAGTTAAGATTTTGGCTTTGTGTCTTTAATGGGCAAATTAATGGAATTACACAGATACGTGAACAAAATTAGGGCTGATTTTGCACATTCTTATTCAACCGTAACATGACTAAATTTGTTCAGGTCATGAAACTAAATAATCCAAAACATTAGATGGATTCAATTAATTAGTGTGGAGTTTACTTTTATTTCTAAAGTAGTTAAAATTAAAGAGCAGATATAAATAAAGAAAGCTGAGAGGGTAGAAAAAAAAGTAAAGGGCTCTGAGGATGGAAAAATGCTTGGTACTTCAGGGATGACAGACTTTTGAAGAAACTTTGTTACAGGTCAGGATTTCTTTCTCATGCAGAGATAGTGAATAGTATAGAAACCAGAACGAATGTTTTTAATATTTTTTGTTTTCTACGAAAAGCTATACTCAGCATAACAGGAGTTAATTTTCAGGCACAGCCTGATCCTGTAAGAAGGTGCTGTGTCTTTTCTCCTCTCACTGTCTCCAATGCGGTCAGGTTATTGCAGTCAGACTATTGCAGTAGTACTAAGCATCTATATGAGTGTCAACAGGATCGAGCCTTGCTGAGCAAGCACCTCCTACACAGGGGCAATGAACTGCTAAATCCCATTCCCATCTATGTACAAGGTAAAGAGCATGGAAGCACACCCAGAAAAATGCTTCAAGAAACCTGGGAAGAGCACTGTTTTACCTGATTTGAAATCCTATACCCCGAATTCAGAGCTATGTAGAACAGGAGACACAGGGCTATCCAGAATGATCCAAGCAGGTGATTATATCCTATTGAGACCTTGCAGCTAGACAGGCAGAGACCAAGCTGTCTGACTCACTCCTAGGCCTGAGTCACGGGCAATTCACAAGCCTGACCATTCCCAGGCTGCATCAAAAGACTCATCTCTGCAACAAGCTTCCTGACAGTCACACACCTCCTCCTCCTCTCTCCTGCTGCGCTTCTCCTTTCCCTGTCATGACTAATCCCTGACACAAAGATTACAGGAAGAAGTAGAGAAAGGAATTAAAATAAAATGACTGCAAAATGGGAGGATGAAGAGGAAACCAAACTAAGATCACCAGAAAATGAGAATCAAGCTGTATGGGAGCAGGCTTGATGCTACATTCAATTGTTTTCTATCCTATGGATATGACAGTGATGGATTATTTGACCTTCATTAGAAGGTAGGCTGTCAATCAGATATGGTCAATCAAACAGGAAGAACAGATTTCAGAGCTGCACAACATAGCCTTTGACTGTAAAGGCAGCAATGAACAATTTACAGAGGTTGCTGCTTCAGAATGTGAGATAAAATTCTTCCCACATATAACAAGTCTTTCCTGGCAGAGATTTATTTTCCTTTCAGTTTTGGGTATCAAGATTCATAATGATCTGGTATCACAAATGTTGCAGTACTTTCAGAAGGGAATACAGTAGTGGCTAGCTGGGTAAAGCAATACTAACTCATAACAGGAGACAGAGTATTCATAAAGTGAAGTCTCTAACAGTTACATGCATCATATTATCATTGCAATATTTCTATAATTACAAACTGAGACCTTTATATGATAAAACACAAAAGAAAGAAAGGACTCCTAGCACCAAATCATTTCCAATTGAATTATTGAAACAGAGAAGTTTGGATGCAGACAGATGGGGAGCACCATTTGACTAGATTTGCCAGAATAATAGAAGTAGTTGTCAATACACCTCCAGTATAACTGTTGCCAAAGCTTTTAAAGGGATTTGAAGAAGGGCAATGAAGATAGATAGTTTTTTGGAGGTTTGGGGCAAGTTTTCCCTGGAGGTAAAGAGGAACATGGTAGAAAGTATGAAAACAACTGTTTGAAAACTAAACAAAAGGCTAGAAGATGGAAAATAACTGATTGAGAGTGAAAAATCAGTATTCTGGATATTCATGAATAAGAAGTGATGGCAGATTCACAGAGCAGATTTATGAAGAAAATAATGCCAAAAGTGCCTTGAAAGTCAAGGTATCATAGATGAAATAGAGAAGTGGAGTTAGGAACTTCTTAAAATTTAGAATGACTCTGAGAGTACATAGGAGGAGCTATATCTTTCAGATCAAACACAGGAGACATATTGTGTCATGTATTGTGACCCTAAGACACAATGCATAATGGCATAGTGAGACAGAGAAAGCCAGAAGTGAATGTTTTAGACCTGGGTAACTGGCTTGGTGATGTCTCTGTGCATACTGATTAATAAAGCACAGCGAGGAACATACAGAAAGATGGATAGAGGATGAGGAGGATCCTTCAAGGATGCCATGAAGGAGTGGTTAGGGAGGCAGGAATAGGCAAGAAGAGAGCCAAGACAGGTCAGAGATGAAGATCACAGCTGATTGATTGTCAAAAGCAGCGGAGGGGCTGCATAGAGTAATGGTTTGGGTTTTGCCAGGAGGAAAGTATCACAGACTGGTGAGAGCAGTTTCATGTGCAGGGCAAGAAGAAGGGAGATCAGAAAGACTGGAACTAAGGAAGAGGATTACCAGGCAGCAATTGCAGGCAATTTGTTGAATGAACTAAGAGATGAATAGGACATGGAAGGAAGGAGGGAAACTGGAGATAAGCTGTGCCATGGACACGTATGCAGAATTAGAAAAGGTAAAGTAAGTTTCCGTTATAAGGGGAGATCTTGAGAAGAGAGGGGGATGTTAAAGAGAAGACTGAGGCATTGAAGGGGATAGGCTGAGATGGGCTCGCAAAAGTAAATGGGAAGTTTAGACAAGGAGAGCGGATGTAGGATATTCCATATCTGTAACAGAGAGATGCTTGCAGAAGGAAATAGGGAGAGGAAAGAAGTCAACGATCTGGGAAGGTGTCACCGTGTTTTGTCAGTTTTCAGGAAAAAAAGGTGCAATCCTGACCCAGAAAGGAACAAAAAAGATAAATAGAAAAGAGTGCAGTTGGTTAGATTAGCCTTCTCTTTTTTATAGAGAGTGCATTCTGCATTAACCTGCACACACCCAGCAGCAGAAAGTCACAGCGGCAGCCAATTCCAAACTGTAAAAGACTCCTAGTGCAGAGGGTGGTGTCTGCCTCGGTGAGGCAGCGATATTTGCTCTTCTTAGCTGTGCTTTTACCTGCTCATTTTGCCTGCTTGCTCTCAGCGATCACTGAATACAGACATCACAGCGTTATCTCTCAGCTCCATGACTGCTTTTCTGCAATCACCTCCTGCCAGCCCCAGGCTGTGCTCCTGGGCACAGAGCGCTGCAGAGGTGTTCTCCACATGGCAGAGGTAGCTGGGGGCATGGCATTAGGATTAGGGTATGAATTAGAAAGGGGAGTTCAGTTCAAACCTGAAACTACAGCCGTGATTTAGTTGGACAAGAATTCTTTGACCTTCTCTTATGAAATTCTGCTACCTACAATAGCAGAAATCCAGGGGAAAAAATCAGCCATTCAGAAAAAAAGATTGCTGTTCCCTCTGAAGAGGAAAACAACCTCTTCTCATTTGGGATCCCAGCTGGACTCAGAAACATACAGGATACCGACCCAAATCTCCCTGAAATTTAAGGAGATTGCAGCCCAAAGTTCCCATCCTGTCTCACCACTAATTCCTAAAGTAGCAAATAATTTTCATCTGTATATTTGAGATATTGAGTCTCCAGGGGACAGTTACTTATGAAGCAGTATTCCTGAGGTTCATTACTTGCATCATGCACATCTGCAATAATTCTCAGGGTTCTGCTTCACCACTTAATATCTCGATTACCATGAAATAAAGAAAGCCATCAAGGGCTGAGAATGTAACCGGATGGCTCTTTACAACGTGGTCTGAAAAGCATGCGGTATTAAACAGGTGTAAAAACAAAAACAAAGAAATTGTCAGGGGTTATGGCTGCAATGCAAGGCATGTATTTTCCAACTATGCCTTGCCAAAAGACATTCTTGAGAAACTGCTGCCAGAATGTGCTTTTTAAAGTGACATCAGAGTGAAAATACTAATTGAAGTGTGCTACATATTTTTCAGGAGCCTCAGCTGTCAAAGGATAACACTGCATAAGAATTTGTTTTTTTCTTATGTGCTGAACTCCATGTTTACAATTGCCCACCTCATTGCTGTTGTGCCTAATCCAGGCCTTGTAAAAAGGGATCCTGTAAGTACTGCATGACTCCTCTCTGTCTTGACACCCAAGTAATATTACTGCTGCCACTCCAGAAATAGCTGTCCCCGTTCATCAATAAGTGATAGCCATCTGGTGAGCCCCCCAGCGAGGGTGCAGATTCTGTGAACTTCACTCAACCTTACTCAAATCTTCACTGAGTGATAAAAAAATCTTTGAATATGGCACAGGAGGAAAAAGTCTCAGACTTGCTCCTGCCTACCTGTCCATATGGACTTGTGTCAGATCCCCATTGACCTCAGCAGTGGCTGCCTGACATTTGCCAACAAAGTCCCTGAGGGGAGACACCCTCTTGCTGGCCCCCTGTCCTTTCTCCCAAGCAAGTACTCCCTGTAGGGGTAGGGATGGAGAGGAATCTGGCTTCCGATTCCAAGATTCCAACAAAAAAAATCTATTCACTGCATTTTTTCTCCCGAGGTGGTAAATCAAACCAGTAACTTGGTTCACTCCTGTTAGCCTGTGATGCAAATTGTGCCAGCCTCTCAACTGATAAATATATATGGCATCTCTAGACCTCAGTAACCTAAATCTGATCTGGCTCACTAATGGAGCAATTGCATTGTGCTTGACGTCGTTACAGCAGGCCAGGCTGATATAAAATTAATGTAAGTCTGAGGATCTCTGAAGTTCCATCACAACACTGGTCAGCTTGTCTTCTAGTGAGATCGTTTGCTTATGGTTTAATCATTTATCTACTTCTAATTCTGTGAAAGCAATTAAGCATTAGCACCTGATATTATCAGGTCACATGCATGTTTCTCAAACATACGCTACCAGGTAAGTAAGCTAATTAAAGCAGAACATGTATAGACTAAAGAAAACATCACCAGTTCCAGGGACCATCTGGAGATTAAAAAATAGAACAGCAAATGAATAATTGAAAAATCACACATTTTGTTCCTCCTTACTGCATACCATCCTATGTACCCATCTCATGCAAAAGGTGTGATGAAAATCCACTTAGTATTTAAAGCTAAAAAGCTGATACATTATATCAGGTACCTGAATTCAACTAAGATCTTACCTCAAGGCTAAGAATGGGACTTCCTGATAGCAGAAGTAAATTATCTGAAGTGAAGTGGTTTAAAACAAAAGTTGAGGCCACAGCCAGGACTCTTGTAGTCCAAGACTTCATTAAAAAGCTGTATGTTGTAGTGCCTTTGGGCTAGATCTTTATTTGGAGTGAAATCTTGACCCCAGTGAAGTCAATGACAAAGCTCCCCGTGTCTTCAGTGGACCGAGCTTTCTTGCTGTAAATCCACGTAGCCACAGGACAAAGAGCAGGACACTGAACAGCACCGCCTGAAAACCCCGGCCTCCGTTGCTACAGCAAAAGATACTATAGAAATGAAATAAGTGGTTACCTTTGGAGCCAGCAGAGCCCCACAGGAGGGCAGAGGTTTCTGTTTGCAGGCAGTTTTCAGGTCTCAGTCTGTAACATAAGGAGGACCCTTAATACTGAATAGTCTGGAGCCAAAAGAAATAAATACACAGAAATCGTCAAAACCAGTATATTTCATTATTTCCTGTGACATTGAATATGGTTATATTAGCAAGCCTGGCCTCAGCAAAATATCGAAGAACATACTTAATTGCTTTGAAGAACAAAGATCTTATTTTGCACTTCCTTCTCCCAAACAAAATGTGCATGTGTTTGACAGTGAACTGCTGTCAAGAAGCTGAAATATAAAACTTGGGGCCAGAAGACCTAGGGTCTTCTGGTTTTGTTCTGTAATGAAGTATGGGGTGAGAGTATGTGCATTGCTTGATCTTACCCTACTTTCTCTATTTCACTTCCTTAAAAAAAGAAAAGGTGATATGCTTATATGTGCCAAGTCTCTCAATGTTACTGGAAAGTGCATTCTGCTCTTCCAGTAACATAATAAATGTGTAAATATATGGTTGGGAAAAGAAAATGACCTGACAGGAGTAAGTCCTTAACACATTATGATAGCACATATAATCTCTATATGAGTGTATGAAGAAGTAAAGGATTTATGTTTAAATGGTATTTATTCCACCAGACAGATTCCCTTAGTATTTTCATATTAAGGCTGCTTAATAGAGCAAAGGAAGGCTTTACCTTTTGCTTTTGTTTAACCCTGTTACCCTTTTCATTCTATTAAGTCCATTTGAAGATAACTACTTCTGGGTTTTTGTAGTTTGCTGCATTTATCCACTTTCCACCTGTGTATCTTCAGAACTTAACAGGCTCATGGAGGCAGGGCTCCCACCTCAGAAATGCACAGAAATACTGGAGTGTGCAGAAGGAATTTTAAGCAGTCACAGAGACCCTTTATTTAATGGCCATATACAGACACGAAGTTGGTCATATTCATTCTGCACAATAATAAATGTGTTTCCACCCCAATAGCTCTTGCTTTTTTCCCTACCCAAAGATTCAGAAAACAATTTAAATAAGCTATACTAAGGGGAAAATGCTTACCATGTGTATATATTTGTGAGGCTATTAACCAAATCCATATTATTTTGAAAGAAGAAAGAAATTTCTGTTATATAATGAACACTTAAGAGGAAAGACAGGAGGAACACAAGAGGAAATTCATCCCTAAGACCACGACACCCAAATTCTCTCTTTATCAAGATACAAAAATGTGAGACAATATGAAGCATCAGTTACATGAAGAGAAGTCCTATCCTCACTCACATATATTTTGCTTTTATGATCATTCTACTCATGCAAAATGGTAAGTCAAACCACTTTTTCCATATATCTTAATTTGCTTTTTTTCTTGTTTGTCCCTGCTTTCTGGTTATATAATTTTTTTTCTTTCTCTCTCTCTCTTGGATTTATGTGGACCTGAAATGATGGAAGAGAAAGAAGGTGGGAGTCTAAGTATCCATATAGGAAGCAAAGAAGCAAAGCAAAAGGTCTGGAGATACTTGGCAAAAAGAAACAGGAGCATAAGAGTGAACACATAAAAATGTATATTGAAACTGTTATGTAAGTTAATTTGTGCATGTTGTAACACCTAATCTAAAAGCTGCATTAAATATACTATTACTGACCCAGATATTACAGGAAGGTGTATCCTCTATCGCATTCTTAAATGACACTGACTTGCAGAAGAAGGATGATCTGTGAACAACACATTCTGCTCTCCATTAAAAAGCCTGGAAATATAAAGAAAACCCTTACTGCGTAATCTTTTGATAGAGTCTTGCACATCAGGTCTGTATTTTTCCTTTTGCTTTTTCCAGAAGCCTAGTAATTTTAATATTGAATACTGATGGTGGTAAAGGAAGATGCAGCTAATGACTGGAGGGATATCTCTGCTAATGAGAAACTGAATAATTGATCAGCTAGCCCAGAGTGCTCATGAGCACCCGTATAAATATGTTTGTAGATGGGACTAAGTTTGGCCACAAATTAGTAATGGCTGGCTGATTTGAAACTTTTCCAGAAAAGCTTTAAGAAATCTTATTGTATTTTTATCACTTTGTCCTTCTAACGGAGAGGATATTTGTTCTCTTCTTTCTCCAGGCTGTTCTGTAGCCTCTTCGCTTTTGGTGCAGTAGTTTTCCCCTTGTCACTTACTACACCTGGCACTGTGTGGAATGAAAGTTTAGAGTCGTACTGCAGTGTTACAGAGTTCATAATAAGGGCTAGTGCTCCACTGGGAGCTCCTGAAAGCCTGGTGTGGGCTCTCGTGCATGACCACGGTTTGTTAGAGAGTAAGTCCACATCATCCATTCAGGCATGCTCCAGTCTCACTGTCAAGTCCCAGCTCTCTGCCACACCTATTAGGTATGCCTAAATGCATAAATAATGCTGTACCCCACAAGCAAGGGCACAGCACTAGAGGTGGTAAGAGGGAGTCCAAAGCAGTCTGTGTTTTATTATGAGCACCATACTCTCATTTTCTCAGCCAGGACAGACTGAGCAAGGGCTGGGCTGAGCATGGTACAGTCCTTCCCACCAGCAGTGCCAGTAGCTCAGCTTGGGCTAAGCAGAGTGTGAACGGTTTGACACTGAGCTCCAGTGGGGCTGGCAAAGAGCAAACCAGATGGAAAATGCCCCAGTTGTGGGATATGGTGTACTGAAGCTTGTTCTTACCTCCTTGTACAGATATACCTTAAAGAGCCTGGGCTAGTTTACAGCCCTAGCTGATGGTGCAGCATGTACCTTCTGCCTCTACTGGCACCAGGACTGTGTAGCCCCTTTGTTTCCCATGCATTTTGCTGAAGTTTCTATAACTGTGGGCGTGAAATAGGATGACAAAGTGCACTCAGGTTATCTGTACTGCACAAATCCCACCTCCCGGCAAGAATCAAGTGTTTAGCAGAAAACAGTAAACTGCTTCCAGCTCAGCAGTGTTAGTAAGACCAATAGAAAGTGAAAAGGAAAGCACAAAAAGCTGTGTCCTCTAGAATCACAGTCTTTAAAAGCAAAGCCGTGCTAGAAGTAGTATTAAAAATTCAGTATCCTTATGCACACTAGAGCACTATAAATAATCTCACACTTGACTAATTCAAACAAAACTATGACTGTTCCAAAGATATTAGGCTTTCCTCCCTATCAGGGTAGTTACTGTGATTTATGGGGTTGCAATACTGTTGACTTCCCCTTTTCTCAGAAGAATAGACAGGGAATGAGAGCCAAGAAAACTGAGATTCACAGCCTTTCAGAAACAGTGTTAATTTTTGGTCTTTTACCATATAAACGTTATCTTCCTTACAAAAGAATGTTGTGCCTTGTTATTTTTAGTTCCTTCTGATGTAGTCTGGCAGAGCCTGAGGATTTTTTTAAATATATTTTTCTCAAAAGAGGGGCACGTGACTGGTACCACTGATGATAAGTGTCAAAAGTGCTGCCACATGTGACTGGTGTTGCCTCACTAGGCTCAGCCTTCCCCTGGTGCAACCCCCACTGGATACAGCAAAGAGGGAGCTCCACAAAGGAGAAGGGCACTTTGATCCTAGGAGTTGTTTCCTGCATTATGTTTGGGGAA